GGAGGGGGCGGGAAGGGAGTGTTTTTTTTAAAGAAGAAATTTTTCTTCTGGTTTGTGAATTATACCTTTAGATTGTGCAGACTGGCCCAGTCAAGTAAGAAGTCAAAAGCTCATGATGACAGAACTATGCTAATTTTCAGTGACTTTCTGTGCTTCAGTAATATGGAAGCGCTTACCCTCTTAATACTAACAGCAGTAAGACAAAATGTATTGCTAAATACTTGAAGATTGATTGGAGCAAACATTTGATAACTTGCTTCTTTATGTTTTTGTCCTTTAAATTCATTCGTTTCATGCCCACTATTGCCTTGTAGAGCTCTCAATAGGATGTTCTGGCCCTAAGGCTTCTCAGAAGCAACTGTTTTTATAAATAATGCAGTTAGCCTAGCTTCATTCTTTGCAGTTTCTTTTTTATCAAAAGGAGAAAGACTCTCTGGAGTCATTTATGCTTATTTTATGCTAGAATGCTGCTATTGTATCTGTTCTTTGTGATGCCCTGGGTATGGGTTTTGCACTAAAAATAATCACTAGCAAATGTCTTCACCTCCAACAGTGGAGTACTAACAACACTGTTACTTAAAAAAAAAGCTGTCTGTAGTATCAGTATGTTGAGTGGTGATGTAATGCAGAATTTGTCTATATTGCTAAACTTCATTAATCAACCAGATCTGACTTTTGCTAGTCAAGGAACCCTGTGTACATTTGCAAGTTATGGTAAAGCAGTGCACTACTCTAAGCTGGTTTTTGACTGTCTCCTATTACAGCTTACAGATGTTGTTCTCTGGCTGTGATGTAATGCACAGTAAATCAGGAGACAGTCTTGTTAAATTTAGCTTTGTAGTAATGTATGCCTTAAAATTAAATCCATGGCAACAATGGATATAACTGCAGCTCACTTTAAGTACAAAGCAAGCTTAACGCTGACCAGAGGATTTTTTTTCCCAACTTTTTCAGTTGAAACTTTGCTCTCTGCCTATTTATTATTTCAAACATTCTGAGTTGTTGAAGTGGAAAAAAAGAAAAAAGGCTTGAATCGTGCCTAATGAAAACAAACTTTTGTCATTTTTTTCCTATCAGAAGTCCTGACAGCAAAGAGAGAATAACCAAAAATTCTAAAGCTCTTTCCACTTGGTCTCAATGTATAGCATCTGCAAAAGAGTAAGACACTGTTGTTTGAATAAGAGTAATTTTTGTCAACTTTCTCTAAAGTAAGCCTTATGACACTTGGTTAAGATCTGTTATACAATGTTCCCTTGACTAAGATTCGTTGCACTGGGGTGTGAAATAAAGTAGTGTTGGCAGTAACTCGCTGCCAGGACCCCTGGTGCCATTAAATTCATGCCAACAGGAAAAAGCTTTTTGCCAGTCTCATTTGTGCTTGGAAATTTTATCATGCAGCATAAAGTATAACACAGACACTTTGTTTGCTGTATTTAATGTGCTTAGGGTTTGGGGCCTGTCCTTAACCTGTTGGTTTCTATAATCCAAAATTAGATGAGGCCTTTAGTGACATGGTTTAGTGATGGACTTGGCAGTCCTGGGACTTGATGCTCTTAAAGGTCTTTTCCAATGTAGTTGATTCTATGATTACTACACCTCTGCCTTCAATGTAAGGAGCTCAGTTCATTGCCAAGCAGTTAAATACTTCTTTCATAGATGCCGCCTTGTGGACTTGCTCTGGCTTCATTGCTACTCACTGCTGTGAAATTCTGGCTGATATCATTTGGGTGTTTAAAAACAGTGAGAGAATTGTTGCCTTAGGATCCTAAAGTGCATAGAAACAGAAGCTTTGTTTCAGTTTTAAGACTTGTGATCCTTTGTAACCCATCTTTGGGATGTTAAATGCTCTCTGCAGGCTCTTTACAGGATGCTTAATAAGGTGGTGGTGAGGAAATCAGTTGTGCATGCTTTCTGCCAGGTGTTTACACAGCATAATGCAGTGGAGTGTAAGCATGGATTAGATTGTAGCAAAGGTGCGTCTAATCTAGTAGCGGACAATAATCAGTGGCAAATGCTTAGGGAATATCATAAGGAACGGAGTAAGCGTACACTAATGTTTTCCCTGAATACTCTTCTAGCCTCCAGTAACTCAAGGCTTGAAAATTTTCTGCGCTAGAAGCACTCTCTCATGGGGGTAGCTTTGAATGAGGAAGGTCATGTCCTGGAAACAGCAGTTGGATTAGCCATCGCACTTTGGAGAAGGGATAGCTCAACCTGAGGTGGTGTAAGGGTCTCTGTTCCTACTGAAGGTTTCTGCTTTTGCTATGGGAATGTCTCCAAAGTGCACATGGAGTTTTGTGTTCTTCTCCAGCTTTCTGGCCTAAAATGTTAAGATAAGAAATTTGTACTTATTTAATATAAGAAATTTGTGCTTGTTTACTTTGATGGATGGTTAGCTAATTTGTTGGCATCTAACTGTTCTGGCACTAGAAGTGAAACCTCCAAGAGAGGGTTGGATGGATGGCTGGGTTTGTGAACTATTAGAGCTGTGCCAAGAGGAGCTATTCTCATTCATGAATCAAGAGTCATGAGCTATGCTCATCTATCCTAGATAGCTTTGCAAACTTCTCTGTGAATTAGCTTGTAAACAGCATCATGCTGGCATGGCTGTATTATTTCTGTCATGTGAATTAGGTTGTAGAGAGTTAACTCTAGATGACCCTGCAGTATCTCAAGCAGAAGTAGCTATTGTTTTTACCTGTAGTGGTTCAAATCTACCTACCTCAGAATTACACTTTCAAGGTGAAGGTTTTTTTTGTCATTTCCATTCTTCTGGAGCAGCTATCTCTTTTCTGCTGCAGTCAAGGACAAAAGGGAAACAGTGTTAGATGTGAAGATGAAAAAGTCAATGCAAAATTCCATGGGGTACTTGAGGGTAGGCTGCTTTCATTGTATCTATGCTGCACTTGCAACAGGTCAGACATGGAGACAGCTGAGTTAGTTACCAGAGGTTTGCTTTCCTGTCTGAAATACTTAACTCTAGTCATGAGTACGTGCTGGCTACACTAGGCCCCTCTTCCTCAGCATATATTGCTTTAGAAATCACCAGCAAATTGTCACTGAGATTTGTAATTCTAATTCCTCTTTTTCTTGCCTTTTAAGTAGTCTCCTTTGCAGTAATAGGCAACTTTCCTTTGGCATGTCTTACCTATTGTAAGTGCTGTTCCCATTTGACAAACTGAAGCTGCAGAGATCATTTCATCCTGAGATAAAAGGGTAAAATTTCAGATAAGATGAATTGAAAAGAGCTGTGCATATTATTCATATCAAACAAATTTGAGTTCTATGGGTCTAAATCCATTTAGATTAAACGCTGGATGTTGCATATATTTGGGGACTAAGAAGGAAGAAATGAATAATGAGCAGCATAGATTATTTCTTATTTCCTTCTGCTGCTGAGGTAGTTTCTTCTGGTGAAGATGATCTCTTTGAAATGCATGTTTTTTAGGGGACAAAAAAGGAGCTGCTTGCTGTCTCATCTAAACAGCAACTGCCATTGCTTTACAGTGCAGCAGAAATACCAATAAGGAACATGTGGTTAACAATTTTAGTACTGTGCTTTTCTGTAAGGCTGATCCTCAAGTTGAGAATATCTAACATACCCCTTCACTACCACAAAGCCTGCAAGGTGCTAGCATCTCTTCATTTGAGAGGTGCACATTTACCAGAACCTGTAGGTCTCTGGTTTAGATGATTTATTTATTTGGGAGGCTATCATATTGGACATCTCAAAATATTTTAGTGTGACTGCCTTAGGCAAATAAAGCAAACTGGGGAGTAAACCAAAAAGGAAAAAAGTACTGCTGGGGAAACAGATGTCCTTGGTATTGAGAGAGTTTCTCTGAAGGAGAGCAGACACTGAAATACACTTAAATAAATAAAAACCTTCAGTTTGTTCTTACTTAGGTGACAGAGAAATGGTGGATGGGAGTATTTGCATGAACACATTCACCAGGGTTTATATTTAAATTACAATCTCATTTCTTCTATATGATGACTAAGGCTCCTCAGGGTTTTTAAGATGACTCAAAGTCAGGAGATGAATTGTAAGAGGAAAATAGTAATTGTGGTAACTACACTGAAATAAGCAGGTAGAAGTATTCTCTGGAAGAAAGCGTTCTTGAGTGTGAAAATGATATCCATAAAACACAGGTTTATGTGTGCTTTGCTCCTTGTGTGTCACATGTGAATGGTATAGGATGTACTTGCTATGCAGCATGCGACTGAAATGCAGACTCTATGCAAGCGATTCAGTAAGTAAATAGCAGTATTGTATGGGAACTCTTACGTACTCCAGGGGAATACCAGTGAGGGGGAGTGCTACTATGCCAGGATGTGATAAATCAAGAGGTGCTGGGATTGGTGTGTTGTACTGAAGAGATTCTAGTAGGTGCAGCTAGCACGGGGGAGTTGCCTTTCTGATGCACTGGAGCAGAGACTGCAAGGCACAGCACTCTCAAAGTGTTTGTGCTTTTGCTCTTTCTTTGGAAAATTGCATTTTCCTACTTCTTAATGATGTACCTTTGAAATCCTTGAGACTATGTAGGTTTAAAGTGTTGTTTAAAGATTCTTTTTTAATCTTTTCTTTTGTAGGTTTATAAAATTGCCCCCAAATTTGCTTTCCTGGTGACATCAGGTCCTTTTGTTTACACGGCAGTAGCTGTCATAAATGTGCTTGTGAACAGCAGTCTTCTTCGTGGTGAGGCCCCCATGATCCTCTCATTGCATCCTTCTTTCACTGTGCCAGATAACAGATTCCAAGTTCAGACAGGTGAGTTCTTATCGACATGAAGAGGAAAAGTAATTTTGTATTCATTCACACTTTTTCTCTTGTTACTAAGCATGCAAGGTTAAGTCAAACCCTGTGTTCTACTGTTGTGAATCTAAACTACTTTAAAATGCTTGAGTCAAGTTTCAATTATGTTTATGTTAAATGCTACAGTAGGTATTTTGTCACTAATATATTTCAGTAATCTAATTACTGCTGCAATAATGAGTAGATATTAATTGAGTAGAGAATTTATTGCACCAACACAAAATGTTTCTAGTGTATTTTTACCCAGTGTTTTACTGAATATGTGCTGAATTCCATGAAAAAGTGATAGCCCTGTGGATTCTCTTGCTCATTTTGTTCTCTCTCATAGAAGTACTTGTCTGTAGGAATAACCTGTACCCTTTGCCTTCAGTGCTTCAGTTTGTACCTCGGAACGTGGAGGTTGGGTTCTGCAATTTCAGCCAGCGCATTGAGAAGGGGCTGAAGATGGCATTCATGGAGGTGAGCAAACACCAGGAGTTCTACAACTTCACTGTGCAGGTAAGAAGACTAGCATGTTTTGTGTCTGTCCCTTCCTCTTCCTCACCTTTGGTTGTCCTGTGTTTCATCCAGCCAGTAAAATGAATTAGGTGTTCACTGGCTACCAGTTGCCATCAAGATCATGTAGATCTGTGAAGCTTTGTTATGAAGTCAGGGGTTTTTTTCCCCTGCAGGATGATATGGCACATATTCCTTTGGTTTCAAGCTTTTTGGAAAACTTATAAATCATCATCTTATATATATCCAAAAGCATTATTGAATATAGTAGGATTTACAGTTTTTCATGAAAAGGCTGCTTCCACTCTATCAAAGTAATTTCTGTCCTGTTTTACTATTACAGAGTTAGGGTATGGTTAGAATGTTTTTGTTGAAAGACAACTTTTCAGGTCTAATTGCTGCTCAGGGGATTGTATTAGGGAATATAGGAGTTACCTGCATTCTGCCATTATGTGAGCAAACATGCTAGTTGCTTCTGAGGTCTAGAAATACTGCAGTGTATGTCTGTGGCAGCTACTACTGGAACTACACATGTGAAAATACACAGTTTATGTGCTGGGCACTGAATCACATGGCAGAATTTAAAACTCCCTGGAAAGTTGGTAATTCAGCTTAGTGACACCAACTCCCTCTTCTGTCTGAATTCTTGAATTTAATCTAGATTTGTTGTAATACCAAAATTAGTAAAAATTTTATTGTATTATTTAACTGGCACCATAAATGCCAATCTGTGGTGCCCTAAAATAAAATCATAGGAGGAAAAATAGCATAAGCTTTACAGTACCTAAAGTACTAACTATATAGTACCTATAGTAAAGTTCTCAGAACTGAACAACTTAATGGCACATTGTGACTGGCTAGACTGAAGACAAAGCATGAAAAACAATTTCTTGGACTATCGATTTAGCAAACTTTTATTTTAAATACTACTTCACTGTCTGGAAGAGGCTTGTCTAGATGAACGCTGTCGTTCTGGTACAAAAATTGGGCTTCTAACCAGAGTTAGGGTCTGAGCGTGCACAGTGCAGGAAGTTCTGACCAAGAGAACATCCTTTCAGAATGTTTCTTTACCATGGTCTCTTCCTGTCTGTTCCATGCAGTTTGGTATTTCTTTATCAGTAGACTTATTTTGCTAACCCCTTCTCTAGGTGGGATTTTTTTCATCATTTTCTAGACTGTATCTTTCAGATCATTCTGGATTATGATTGACCTTAAAGAATAACACTTGGAAGAGGATTTCACATGTAATTTTGCTTCATCTGAGAATAAGCAAGCTGACTCGATCTGGAACAGATGTTCCTCTGTTTCAGTGTGAATTGTCCCCCTTTCCTATTAGGGGGAAAAAAAAAAATCTGTGAGGGAAGGAACGGAAATGCCAGTGATTTGATTTTGCTGACCCTGCTTCAATCTTGTCTTTTCAGATATTGAATATAACCCTGAGCAGGCCTGGGGCAGCATTTCGGCAAGGCCCCGTGAGCATTGTTTTTGCCATCCGAGATAGGTACGGTTTTCTAAATGGATCTGAAGTCAGTGAGCAGCTGAGAAACTTGTCTGTGGTGGAATTCAGCTTCTATCTGGGCTTTCCTGTGCAGCAAATAGCTGAACGTGAGTACTTGCTGTTTGCCAAGACTGCAAAAATACATTTTTTAGTGTTTTTTCCTCTCTACAATTTTAAAGTAATTTTGTGCATAAGTGATAATGCAGCTTCAAATACCTGACTCTTATCATAGATTCTGCAGAGCAAATCCATGCCCTTCTCTGCTCACATACTGCATATCTGTCATAGCAGCTTGTTGGTTTTGTCATCATCCTTTCCTGTTGCTCTGGGCCAGTTGTACTTAACCTGACTTCATTAGTCCATTTGGTTTAGTCCAGATTAAAAAGAAGAAAAAAAAGTCACTTCAAAATTGCTACGAAGGGCAATCCAAGGGATATGTCTGTGGTTATGTCTACAGGGGCCTTATATTTGCCCTTATAGTCTAACTGGTTGATCTGTTAAACCAGTGCTTTTTTGAGTAGTATAGTATCTTTTAAGGTGTTATCTTTTAAGTTATCTCTTGCTTCTTATGTACAACTGGAGTTGCAAATACTTTTTTCAAGTCCATGCCCATCCTGAACTTAGATTAATGGGAACTGCCTGCATAGCAGAATTTATGTGACACTCAGCCCTGGCAGTTGAGGTTTGGTTAGATTTTTCAGAAACCTCAGTCTCATAGAATCACAGAATAGTTAGGGTTGGAAAGCACCTTAATATCATCTAGTTCCAGCTCCCTCATTAATAAGTCAAGTTTCTAAACTCAACATTGATCCTTGTACACTACTTAATTGTTCATGACAGAAATAACTCATGAACGTAAGCAAGATCATGAGAGCACGGTACTGGCCTTTCCCTTCTGGTAGGTGTTGCTGTTAACTCAGTCCACTAATTCCTTGTTTCTTTTATCTCACTGTGCTTCCCGATGCAGATTTTTCATTTTCGGCATTATTTTTGTGAGCTATGTAGGTGTGTAACATCTGACCCAGTGTTTTTTGCTACACAGTTAAGCATCCAATGGAAAATAGGGCCTAATGGTACCTGCTATTCATTATATAGCTGTGTAGTAGTATGTCAATGAAGGTACCCTAAAGAAAGTGATTGTCGGCAGAAACTCTTCTCCATAGCATACAGAGTCACAGAATGCATCTTTAGCTCTGCGTAAGATGATTGCACAGGATACTTTCCAATAACTAGAAGTAGTGAAAGCTTGCTCATTTTTTTGAAACTTTTTATTTTTCATCATTTCTGAACCCTCTGCTCCCATAATCAATTAAAAAAATATTTCTATTCTTATTTGGTCTTACATAAACTGTACTTGTGCAGTGGTAGCTGTGTTTAATTGAGCCAGGACCAAAAGCCTTAAGAACCCCTGTCCATAGATGACCAGCATTTCCTTTTTTTTCCCCTTGTGAAGCCACAGAACTTCTTAGGTTGCAGGCTGTGGTCTTTATCTCTCACTGAATTCAAATTAAATATTGCTCTTGCCTTGATTGCTTGAAAGATATTTCTCTTTACTCTGTCATCTCTTTTGCACCTTTGCCCTAGAGTTTATTTAACTTTTAGACCCTTGAGTAATATTTTTAGGGTTGTAGGGTTTTGTTTTGTTTTGTTTTGTTTTTTCCTGTGATGTACACACATCTGGTCCTACAGGGTTTTTTTTGTGCACATATTTTGGAGTGATATTTGTAGTGAATTTTAAGGTTGTCGCTTGTTGAGTATCTATCTCCTGGATTGTGCAGTGGAGCTACCATGCAATTAAATGATAACAGAATTAGTGCTAAGGCTGGTGTATTCTGAAAGACAGACTGGTCATAGGGGAAGAGCATTTCCATTAAACATGCATGTACCCTGTTCTCCTTATTTTCCTTTCCTGATGGTACTTAGGAAATTTGAAGGTAATTTCTTCAGTGCTCACAGCAGGAGCTCTCCCTGTGTTATCTGCATGCTCATAGTGCCTGGCCAGTGGGGCTGATTTCAGGCCAGTGCCGGTGGAGCTCTGTGATAGCTCACGTGTTAATGAGAAGGCTGTTCAAAGTAGAATGAGTGAAGAGGTTAGGCAGTGCCTTTGGAAAAGAAAGTGCCATTCGGGTTTCTCTTCCTTTCCTGACTACCCTGAGGAGTTGCAGCGTAGTAAGGTAGATTTTGGCTGTTGTAGCCTGGCATGTTTATTCTCTGTTAGAACACTGGCATGTCTAAGCCTGGGGGTAAGTTATAGAAATAACTTTGTTTCTGAAGCTTGTTTCTTTATTCCTGATGGCGATTTTCAACAAGTACACCAACAGCATGGTAATTTCATTCTGGCAAATTCCAGGACAAGCATCCAGACTTCAAAATACAGAATTATTTTTCCTTTCCTCAAATCCACCAAATCTCCCAAACAATAGCAAGCCTCAAATCCTCAAGCAGACCTTTGGTGTAGGAAGGCAGAGTTACTCATCAGTGGTGACTAAATCCATCATGATACACACTTCATTCTATGAGGGTGGTGAGGCCCTGGCACAGGTTGCCCAGAGAAGCTGTGGCTGCCCCATCCCTTGCAGTGTTCAAGGCCAGATTGGACGGGGCTTTGAGCAACATTTTCAGAACATTTAATGTTGTATTAAAATAAATAAGTATAAGAAAATTTAAATAAATATAGTAGATTTCAATTTAGTAATTGAGAATTTTTAGGAATGATGAGATCTTCCTGAAGTTTGCAGTGTGATAAACATGAGGCTTTGGTGCCCAGGGAACACCTTGTCAGCATTTGGCTTACTTGTTGCTAGAGGAACTCAAGTTTAAAGTGGATTGTGCCTACTGCAGGACAGCTCATTTTGGTTTGAACTTGTCTAGTTTGGTCTCAGTAGCGCTTCAGGACATTTGTAGTCACTATTTTGGAAAATTAGACATGGTGCCATTTGATAAGTGAGCAAAGTGGGAACACAGTTTCTCAGGTTGTTAGAGATACGGGTCTGTCTGTCAGCAGCACAATAATTAGTGTAGTTCATCGGCTTTTATAATTGAGGCAACCACACTCAGTTATTTGTAGCTGTTTCTACAGTGTGTTTTTTGCTGTTGACGTGACTATTTTGAGCCTAAGGATTTTAGATTTTCAGTATTCAGAGCCAGAAATCACATCCAAAGGCTCAGCAGTGTTGGGCAGATCCTTCTTGAGAAGGCAGTCTGTTGAGGATGACCAACAGCCAGATCCACTTGGGCAGGAAGATGCCTAATGATTTTGTTTTCTAAGCCCTGAACTCTGCATTTATGCTCTCCTTTGGTCTACAGAGCAGTTGTAGCACAGAAGGTGTTGTGAAGATCTTCCTTCGATAGGTAGCCTCTTTGCTCTGTGCAAATTAATATGCAGCCCTCTGCTTGTCTGTGAAATTTTTGGGGGAATTTTGGATTTTTTCATATTCACATAAACAGCAACATACATGAATTGTTTACATATGTAAATATGTAATGTTCCATGCTGTACTGTTCTATGCCATTTGTGCCTTAGTTATCAGGCATGCGAACAGTTAATACTCTTGGTAGTGACTTTTTCTTTTTCCCCCTTGAGGGCTCTGTATATGATTTTGTAAGTTTTCTAGTCTGCATCTGAAGAAAGGGAAATGATAGGTAGGTGAGCTGAGCTGTCGGGGTTGAAGTTGACTCATGCTAAGGAGAAGATACTTGTGTAATATCACTGGATCTCAACACTGTTAAGTGAGACCTATCCCAAGTATGAGCTTTGTTCAAAGGAATATATTTGCTCCCTGCTTCTTGTTCACCTCACATGTCTTTCTACACACAGTCCTTACACAGGTTTGTTTTTTCTTTTTCCACATAGCTAGTATGTACTGCTTGTACATCTAACTGTGTGGGTTGTCCCTGTGCACTACATCATTAACAACAGGAATTTTTTGTCAGCTTTTTTTTTTACTCATTTAGAGTCAGGTCAGTAGTGAAAGTTGTTAGTTTGACAGAATGGGCTATTCTGTGCAGGAATAGGGTTGTTGGAGTAGCCAAGCCTGGAAACTTCCAGACTTTTTTTCTTTCCCCCCCAGACCTCCAGGTAACTTCAGTACCATGCTTACTTTCAAATGTCCAGTTTACACCTTCATGCATGCTTATTGTGTATTGTCCACCTTACATCTCACATCTTAGATTGTAAACTGGTTAAATGGTCATGAACTACATATCAGCAGAAAGAAACCCAAATCTAATCACAGGTTTTGGGTGTTAGTCCATTAAAAACAATAGGAAAGAATGTATTTGGTATTTCTTTGCCTGGAAGATTTCTCTGAGGACAGGCAAAGACTAAACAAGGAATATTGACCTTCATGAACTTACCCTGAATAAATCTCTTGGTTTTTTATTATGACTTTAAATAAGAGTGAATTGCCTTGGATCTTGCTATTTTTTCAGTGCCATAAGTAGCACTTTGATGGGTGGCATCTATTTTGGATATCTTAGAGATGTTGCAAGGCCGATAGGGTGATATAAAATCATATGATACAATCCAAAGACTGCAGAAATATTTGGTGATTTTTTTTCTGAGTGGATTTTGGATCGGACTTTCAACAGATACAGTGCATTACTATTGCCCACACCCCGATATTTTCATGGAATCTTATTTTGCAGTTGATCCCTTCTCATTCCATATATTGCATTCCCTGCATGCTTTCTATTACTGTTCCTCCATTTATCAGAAATAGGAATGATCAAGGTGGTGCCAGTTTTGTCCTGCATGGTCCCACACATCTCTGTATGAGGGGGTCAGAGGGATCCTTGAAGCATCTGGCAAAGGCCATGTTGCCCCAGTCAGACTGCTGTCAAGAGGTTTCTGGGTGACTAGGTGACCCTGTGTCTTTTCAGTCAGCATTGAATCAATGCTGTTACGCAGTATGGTGCTTCAGGGCTGCATGTTAGCATCTTCTAATGATGCTAGCATCTACTTCATTAATGCATCTATAGTCATTAGCAGACCAGCTGCAATCTAACTAATAATTCCATTTTGTCTATCCAGCATCCGTCTCAGAATAACAATCAGTCTATGCTGGTTTTAATCATTAGTTCTGGGGGCATTAGGAATCTTGCAAATATGACCTTGCTGCAGTGCTGAGGCTCCAGCTGAGCTCAGGATCTGGCCACATGTGGGTCGGTGAGACACTTGAGTAACCTACAGAGTAAGAGTTGGAGCCTGGACTTTCTGACTCCTGAACATGGTCTCAGTTGCAGAAGCATCCATCACTTCACGCATTCCTCCTCATGTTTTAAACCCCAGCCTTAGTTGCCAATGAACACAGCACATCTTCCTTTTCAATTTCAAGATTTTCTGCTCAAGTTGTTTTATTTTTAAATTTCATTAATTCCATGAAAAGTTTAAGTGAATAGTCATCCAGCAATTTGCATGAATTAAATCATTTTCAAGTACTAATTAGGAAAAGTGTGAAGAGCACATTAAGTATTGAGGCAAAACATGATTTTGGTTTAAAAGAAGAGAAAAACAACTGCTAGCAGTTCAAAGCTTTATGGCCATTGGAAGGCTTTTGATTTTCTTATCTTGCTCTTTCCATGCTTTGGAAAAACAACAGATGCAGTTTAGTTTGTGCTTTTTTGTTCAGGTTGTATTTCTAAATCGAAGAAAACAATTGCATGACCAGATTAAATAGAACTCCAATCTAAAAGCTACAATCAGATGAATTGTATAGCAGGGTGCCAAAAATGGATGTGTTTGTTTCAATGGTCTGTGAGGTGTGTTTTGTGTATCTGAGAGTTTTGGAGATTTGGTGCATCCTGGTCAGTGTATAGAAGAATGATGTTTCCTGTTCAGAATAAAGGACCATATTCTGATACCCTTCTGAACAGTAAGTCACAAAGTACCTCCCAGCTGGTACTCTTGAAGCTAGTGGCGCTATTATTGAAATAAAGGCGGAATAACCAAATTTATGTGTTTTTTCCATAGGACTGTTTATAAATCTGTGAAAATAAAAGGTACCACATAACTAGTGATTCTATTGCTCTTACCTTAACAAAAAAAAATTGTTTTAAGGGGCAAAAGAGTCTCTGTTTAGGTACACTGACAGAGGTCAGATACTCTATGAATTACTACATAATTAAATATGCAATAGTGGCAAACTATTTCACAATTAAAGATATCTTAACTGTAAAATGACTTAGCATGGACCAGGTCATTTAATTGTTATGTGCCACATTCTTTTTATCCATGAAATGGTTTAAAAATTAACCTTTGCATAATGCTTGGCAAACTGCATCTCCATTAAATATTTTGAGAAGGTTAAGACCATTCCTTTTCCTTATTGCCATAGTGAAGTTTAAGACTTCCCTTGAGGAAACTGTTGGCCCAGCCCCCATCTTCGCTTGTTTCCCAACATGTCTTTACTGCTCTCCAGTGGAAACCTTGGGAAAAATCTTATGCCTACTGAAGTCACTTGAAATAGACTTTATTTACTTCACTGGGACAAGGTTTTCACTCTGGAGCAGAGCTTTTTAAGAAAAATTGAGAAATGAAGAAAGCTTGGGGCCAGCAAGCCAAACAAAAGCCATGAGATTCGTCTACAGTAGTGTTTCTACATGCATTTATTTGTGATTTTGTTTTTAAATACTTCCCCCTGCACGTGTCTGGAACGCAATGAGCTATATTTAGTTTTCTGCTTTACATTTAGTGTTAGTGTTTATAGAGTTTCTACCTCAGAGAAGGTCTTATTTTCATTCTGAGATACTCACAAGTTGCCTCATTGCCCTTTGAGCAAAATTCTGATCCTTCAGCTAGCTCGGTAAGAGTCACAGTTCAGACAGTGAGCTTTTAAATTTCTAGGAGCAATGACCTTGGTACAGCAGCTTGAAATCTTTCACATAATAAATCTAACTGCTTCAGTTAGCTTCTTTTTGTTCAGAGCTGAACTGGGGAGTGTATGTTCGGAGCACTTTCCTTATTGTTGTGCCTGCGTAGCCTCAGGAGTAGTAATACATCTGTGTAAATAAGATGCTTACTGACAGTATAAATTATGAAGTTGTTACTTTTTTGGTGTATGTTGTTGAGAATACTGTTCTTACGGATGTTTTTCCTCTATTCTGTTTTTTACTCAGCCTTTCATTATCCCAAGCTTAATGTGTCTCAGCTGATGAAATCTTCCTGGGTGAGAACAGGTATGTGAAGTCTCTGTGAGTAAGAGTGCAGTTATTTTTGTAACTAGCCTATATAAATATCAATAGCTTAGGCTGATGCATTTTTATGAGGTAATAATGTGCCTGAGCTGAATAAATAGTTTAGAATAAATTCTAAAACCAAAGGCCTGATGACCTGGAATATCTGGGAAATTTAGTTCATGGGTCTTTAATGAACTACTGCAATTCCTTGATAATGCACACAAAGTTTTTATCTATCAAGCAGTTCATACTTAGTGAGATAACTTACACTGTCAGGCATAAAGTACCTACTCTCTGTGCTGTCAATATGCCACATTGATTTTTTAGGTTTTTATTTTAAGTGAAAAATAAAACTTTGTGTGGCACTTTCTACCAAAATATGTCAGGAACAATCCAGAATGAAAATAAATACATTCAGAGCATATTAGTTTCATCCCATTACATTGACCTCTTCTGATTCATTCAAAGCAGATCCATCCTGCCTAAGTCTTGTGGATGTTTTATTCTATAATTCACAGGTCTGGTTGAACTGTCACATGTAGATGCTCAAAGGCTATTAAGGTTGCCTGCATGCTATAGGTCCTGCCTGCTTCTTTTAAGCAGAAAGCCTGAAAGGTGACCTTCCTTTGCCTACCGAACTTCCTTCTCCAACTGGATAGACTTTTGTCTTCCCACAGCTTTATCACCTGTAGTTTGCCAGTTATGCAGGCTTACTTTTTTTTCAGGTATCCCTGTCTCCTCTCACTAGTGACCCAGTTTACTTTTTACAGGAAGTTGCAACTTCATTCCTGAAGCCCACACAGTTTATTTTAGAGAAGAAAAATGAACATTTTCAGATTATGTTAAGTAACATGCGAGAAGCTACATCTGTATATTCCACATCCAATGTCACCCTTCCTTAGGGTGTTTGCTTTTCGGTCATGCTGCCACTCTCTTTTGCTCAGCCTTTGGTTTGCTTTGTCCATTGCTGATGGAAGTTCCCTTAGATCCTGCAGTAAGGAGAGGGTTCTTCCAGCTCAGAAATCATGTCCCTTTGTGTTTTTCTAAACTTCCTGATGGTACGATAGTGAAAGCCAATTGCAGAACCTTTTTTGCTGTGGAGGAATATTTTGTAATCCCAGTTCTTGCAGGCAGCCTGGGAAGAGCTAGTAGACTTCGGCTAGGTCAGTCCTTTGAGTCTCTATACTGTATTCTAAGGGTAATGAATCATGACATAGGAAAATGACACATTTATCCGCATAAAGGTTTTTAATATTAGATTACCCAGGTATATGTGCATGTATCCCAAGAGTCATAAAATGTTGTGTTCTCCATAGCTGTCCCTCTTGGTTGTAGAATACAGTTCATGCTATTAAGTATAATTCATTGATACTGAAATTTAATACACAAGCAAGAATGCTCGTCATCTTGCTGTATATAATAGCCTTAGGCAGTTGTCTATTTACTTTGCTATTTAAATCTGAGATACTTAGTCTGTGGTTGAATTTAGAAGACAGATGCTGTTGATCTCTGTGAGAAATCATGAAAATATTTCATTTTCCTGCTATATGCAGTGAATATTTTTAAATGGAAAAAGTGGGTTTAATATATATTTTTTTTAACTTTAGAAAATAATGTATCTTTTATCTTGAGTGGTGTTTTATTAGGCACTGCACTTAAAAAAATAAGAATTAAGACACTGAAAAAGGAAATTTTAAAAAATATAAAGCATTTTAGTGGAAAAGTGAAGGAATGAAAACTGAATTATTTTACTGCAGTCAGTGGTGAGTTGGATTACTGTCCCTTAGGGTTGTTTAATTAGGTCATTTGAATGACTATCATTCCATTCACTCTTCTTTTATTTGATGCCACCTTGTTAGTTAAGGTCCATTCTTTTTTCATGTTTCCTATATGTTGTTCCTCAGGGATTCCTCTCAGCGTTAGCTGTCCCAGTGACCCGGAGTACCTGGGGTTGGGAAGCAATGTGGGCAGGGCCACTAACCAGGTTTTTTTGTGCTATAATTGGCATCTTGTTGAACTTTATCTGAGGAAGGTGCATTTGGTATACACAGCTTCATTCACATACTGCTGTTCTACTTTTTCTCCATAATTCTGACCTCTTT